TCTATAAAAATCAATTATGATCTAGAACTCAATCAAAAAAAACAATTAAGTTCTTACTACATCATCATTCACACATAGATTATCATATCAATATAGTTAATTATCACGTAAGTATCGTAGTGATTAATAGTAAATTCTGATGATCTAAGGATAACATTGATACAATTCATGAAATTTAATGATTAAATTGATCCAATTGAAATGGAGACACAACATTATTAATTTGAAATCACCTATCAAACCTTGTATTTGTAATACTTATAAATATAACTCCTTAAAAGAAATAGATTCTAAGATTGAAAAATAGATTTTAAACCCAAAATTAGAAAGGTAGTTATATATTTTAAAGGGAAAAGGTAGATATATGGTTGATTCTTAATATTGTTTGGAAAAATAAATGTCTGGCCAATGTATCAAAACTAAGCTAAGATTCATGTCTTTAATTTTGTATGTGATGTACTTTTAATGTTTAAATTTATTCTATATCAATAAATAATGTAATAATATTTGCTAATTATAAACATAAAATTATAATTTCCTTTTCTATGAATGCTTTATACTTTTACCAATGTTTTTAGAATCAACGGGTATGATTGGACTTCCAATCCATAGTCAACGAGTACGTTTTATCTAGAATCGACAAGAGTGTTTTATACTACTTCCAACATTGTCAAATTCAATGGTTATGGTCTCCCTTCAAATCTATATTCAATGGTTATGATTACCGGAGACCGACAAGGGAATCCATGCCGCTTGCAGTAGAGATGGTCCGATTAAAGTTGTAATCGAATTAAGTTAGGTTTGAGTATTATTAAGTTTGATTTTGATTCGATTTAAAAAGTTTAAAGTTAAGCTTAACTGTACTTGAAAGTTCACTTTAATAATTGGAAGTATTAATATGTGGATTAAGTTTTCCTTTAATATTTGTACACTTTCACTTACCAAATTTCAAAAAAAAAATTAGTCGCTTACGTTATTATTTTATTAAATTTTGATCACTTAAATCAACGTTTTATTACATTTTGATCTTTTAAACGTTGAATACGATTAGTTTAATAACGTAACTATGAACTTACTCGACTGATTGTATGCTGTTTTCATAATGTATTTTTTTAATATTAATACGAAAGATGCAAGAGTAAGATAGTATCCAAAAGCTACACGAAACTCGCGATTAAGGAATAATAGTTTGAAAACAAAGATTTAATACATGACAGTGAAGAGACTGACAAAGTTTAGAGACAAAGACGGCAAATGTTTTTGCCTTGGGTTCAGATATTGCTGTTTGTATCTATTCTATTTCCCGTATGTGTTAATTCTGAGATTCGGCATTACAATTTCACTGTAGGTATATATCAGATGTGTGACCAAATATGTATTATTTATGTAAAAATAATGTAATTTTAATTTTATATGTTTATCTTATTATGTTAGTAAACTGTTAAAGGTTCAACGAAAGTGATTACATCTTAATTAAAATAAATTGGAAGTGATTAAATATTATGTTTTTTTAATTTAATGAGAAAATATTTATAAAATTCAAACAAAAGTGTTATATTTAATAGTTTACTCTTAAATATTTTATAAAAGGAAAATTAAAAGAGGAAAAATAGGACCTACAAAGTACAAAGTCCAGTGATGTTTTCAATTATAGCATAAATGCGTGTGCTGATGTCACGATTCATTGTAAATGAATTGCAAAGAAAAATGGAAAGGGCTTTAAAAAAATAAAAAGAATAAACTCTAAAATAATTTAAACTTGAAAATTGAAAACGACTGTAGAAAAAAAAAGGACTGTAAAATAATTTGAATTAATTAAAAGTTAAAATAATTCAAATTTATAATACATTTATATTTAATATTTTGGATATTTATTTTTTAAAGTTTATAATTATCTTTTTTTATTATTATCATGTTAAAAATTCTAATTAAACTCATCATTCTTTGAATACAATATAAATGATCAACACACTAACCAATGATGGACGAAGAAATTTATGTCAGGGTGTGTGTGAACTTAAGAATATATATTAAAAATTTTAGGAGACGTAGAGTTATAAAATTTTAGGTGGTGCGGAATTAGATAATAAATAGAAAACAAAAAAAAAACCTAAAATATAAGAGAATTTGAAAATTCCAAGGGATGTGACTGCACCCTAGTACCCTCTCGATCCATCCATGACACTAACACATTTTTTGGTATAACCAATGGTATCCGATCTATTAATCGACTAATCTGGATCAGGTACTATAGAGGCAAGGGCGACCCTTCCAACCCAGTTTGCTCCATTCGTAATCGTCAGATTCAAACTCCTTACCTTACTTAAAGAATCTAATGTCTCATCTCACTAGATCAATTGGTTGTTGATTACCCTAGCACATGTTTATTATAGACAAAAATAATTACCATGTCTATTGCGTTGCTTGAAGTATTTAGTATTAAATTTTTTGCCTTTTATTCTAAGGTCCATTTTTAATCACATGGAACATTAATGGTAAAGTTCGGAAATTAATATCCAAAATGCAAAATAGAAAAAGGATTTATTAGTTTGGTTTAATGATAAAATTAACTCACCTCTAACTTTTATTCTTTTTATTACCTTTTTCCAGATCACTTATACTCTTAAATTTTTGGGTTAACTATATGGATGATCACTTATGTTTGTATTTTTATCCACTTTTGGTCAATGATTTCAAAATATATAAGATATGATCACTTTCATTCTTATTTAATTAAGATGTGATCACTCCGAGTTAACTGCAGTTTCATTTTAGTATAATCACACATTTGATCACTGTTATTTATATATTCTCTCAATATAGTCATATATTTTAATAAATTAAAATAAATTTAATTCTCCAATTGAATGGTGCCAGATGTCATTGGTACCACGTGTTGTGTCATGTGTCACCATTCGATTGAAAGATTAACTTTATTTTATTTTATTTTAACAAAGTAAAGCAAATTAATGAAAAATAAATATATTAAATTAAAATAAAGTTAATCTTCCAACCGAATGGTGACACGTGGCATGACACATGGCACCAGTGACACGTGACATCATTCGATTGGAGGATTAAATTTATATTAATTTATTAAAAATTTGACTAAATTGAGAGAATATGTAAATAATATGGACCAAATGTGTGATTATAAAAAAATATCACGTCACTTAATCTGTTGACTGTTAACGGCAATTAACTCGTGGTGACCACATCTTAAATAAATAAAAAAATAAAAGTGACCATATCTTAATCAAATAAAAACGAATGTGGTCATATCTTATGTATTTTGAAATCAATGACCAAAAGTGGACAAAACACAAACATGAGTGATCATCTGTATAGTTAACCCTAAATGACATTAAACCATTTGCTTTTAACAGAAAAAATTAACTGGATCGTTAAAAATTACTAATACTGATGTGGTATGAAAAATTGAAAATATTATATTTTTTAATTAATTTCTTTATTTAGCCCATTTTGTATAGCAAGAAATTTATTAAACATTTAATTATATTAACTGAATTTAATTACTTCCATCCTTTGACGTGGGTTTCAACCAGAACACTTTAATTTTCAGCCTTTAGCGACTAAAGGAACCAAATGCTTAAAAGGGGCCCAATAACATCAGTAAATTTAATTGGCCTACCTCTATAAAGGATTAACCAGCAAAGTCTTGTTCCTATTTCCAATTAATTTCGCATATTTAAGAGTTAATTAAATTGTCAAATTAAATTAATTTTGAATTAGAGAACACCATTCCTATTGTATCCTATATAAACCACACCCAAACCTTAAACACTTGTATGATATAACTACCGTAATCAAATACTTGAACTAACCCTCCTCCCACCTTACAATAACAAAAAAGGAATTTAGTACAATTTTATGCATTTTAAGATTTCATAACCGTCTCAATAGCAGTTTATATTGGTCAAAATATTCATAATTTGTAGCATTTGTTTTATTTTTTTACATTCTTATATTTAATTATTTTCAATTTTGACTGTAATAAATAATTTTTACATAAACCAAAGACATGAGAAATGAAATTTTGCGTAAACTTCACTTATAATTTTCTTTAATAGTTGAGATAATTATAAAATAATATTTATTTAATATATTTTTTAATCATTGACAACGCAGATACGTCCTGCAAACGCAACTATTAGTAGGATTGTAAATAAGACGAGACAGATCACGAGCTACTATTCGAGACCAACTCGGTCAAAGCTTGATAAATACTCGACTCGAATGAACTCGACTCGAGCTCGAGCTCGACTCAAATTCTTAACAAGCTGAAACGAGCTACTTGATACTATACTCGAAAAGCTCGTGAGCAACCCGAAAATATAATATATTAAGATTTTATTTTTTTAAAAAATTATTAATAATATTAACATTTATGTGTTGATTTAAAAAATATAGAATAAGGTTTTTCATGTATTTAAGGTTCATGTTCGAGTTCAAGTTTGAGTTTGAGGTTTCAGTTGAGTAAAGTTTAAGATTTTTTATTTTAAGCTTTTTTTAGTTTTTACGAGCTTCAATTCATAATTTCGAGTTTTAGTTGAATTTGAAAATTTTAGACTAGTTTTCGAGTTGAGTCAAGTGGAACTCAGCAATACTCGAGCTCGACTCGATTACATCCCTAGCAACTCGAACCTAAAACCTCTAGAAATAATGTTTCTTTCACCCTTCATAACACTTGATGGGTTCAAAATTTTCACCTATAATTATTTGTAAAATAATTTTTTTTAAATATAAAATGTTGACATAATTTAGATTTGCTTACTTTTCTTGTAGAGTCTAAATCTTTTTGACTAATTGGACAGAGAACAATGTATAACAGTCAAAAACTAGCACTTTAGGAATCCCGTAAAAACTGAAATCACCGAAGCAAAGGCGACCCTACATGTTTAGTTTAATCACGCCATTGAACATGGCTTTTAATCCTCTTTATAACCCCTCCTCTCTTCCTCTTCCTCATTGCACAACAATGACAATGGCAGTCCCTTCACTTTCCCTTTCCCTTCTCTTACTCTTCACAATCGCTCTATTTTTCCCATTCCTCATTTCCTCTTCCCCTGTTCAAGACCCTGAGCTTGTAGTCCAAGATGTTCACAGGTATACCGCTTCGTATTTTCGATGGCATTGCGTTTATTTTGTAATATTACAAATCTATAACTCTGTTTTTCTTTTCTGGCAGAGCTATCAATGCGTCTAGGAGGAACCTTGGGTATCTGTCGTGTGGAACCGGGAACCCCATTGACGACTGCTGGAGGTGTGACCCCAACTGGGAGAAGAACCGCCAGAGGCTAGCCGATTGTGCCATTGGGTTCGGCAAGAACGCCATTGGTGGAAGAGATGGTAAGATTTACGTTGTTACCGATTCGGGCGACGACGACGCGGTTAACCCGAAGCCCGGGACTTTACGACATGCTGTGATTCAAGACGAACCGTTGTGGATAATTTTCGCTCGTGACATGACCATCCAGCTGAAAGAAGAGCTGATAATGAACTCTTTCAAGACCATCGACGGCAGGGGCTCCAGTGTTCACATTGCCGGTGGTCCATGCATTACCATTCAGTTCGTCACCAACATCATCATCCACGGACTCAACATACATGATTGTAAACAAGGAGGGAATGCTATGGTGAGGGACTCCCCGCGGCACTTTGGTTGGAGGACGATATCGGACGGTGACGGTATTTCCATCTTTGGCGGTAGCCACGTCTGGGTCGATCATAACTCGTTATCAAACTGCAACGATGGTCTGATAGATGCCATCCACGGGTCCACCGCGATTACCATCTCCAATAACTACATGACTCACCACGATAAAGTCATGTTATTGGGGCACAGTGACTCCTATACTCAAGACAAGAACATGCAAGTCACCATTGCTTTTAACCACTTTGGTGAAGGCCTTGTCCAAAGAATGCCAAGGTAATATACATATCTATGGAATAATGATGTTTTTTTGAATTAACTACTGATATCAGATCGATGATTTTTTCTGGATTTACAGATGTAGACATGGGTATTTCCATGTGGTGAACAATGACTACACCCATTGGGAAATGTATGCCATCGGAGGAAGTGCAAACCCAACAATAAACAGCCAAGGGAACAGATTTACTGCACCTGATAACAGATTCAGCAAAGAGGTGACGAAGCACGAAGATGCACCGGAGAGTGATTGGAAGAGCTGGAATTGGAGATCTGAAGGTGACCTAATGGTGAACGGAGCATTCTTTACACCTTCCGGCGTGGGGTCGTCGTCCAGCTACGCCAAGGCTTCGAGCTTGGGAGCTAGGCCATCATCACTTGTCGCAACCATTACAACCAATGCCGGTGCACTTAGTTGCAAGAAAGGTGCACGTTGCTGATCATAATGATGGCGCCCAACACAACACTTTATTACAAAGTGGGTCATTGAACTCATTAAATTTAGTTAGAGAGAAGTGATTTTTAAAAGCCTAATGAAGATATGGGAAGGGGAAAGAAAAGCCTATAGTTAAATGGATTTGCATGGCTTTTATCTTTTTTGTCTTCCAAATTTTACTTTTGTTTGGGGCTTGTTTTGTTTGTCTGATTACAACTGTCGGCCTGTTGCCCTTAGAACATCTTGGGATTCCCTTGTAAGAATCGTGATGCGTTTTGAGAGAAAACAAGTGCTGATGTGTTGATATAATACTAAATTTCTAAGTTAAATCTTTATGTTTGTCTTTTTTTTTTCTCCCAAATTCCCTCGTGGAAATCATAAATATGTTTGAATAATGCCAACCATAAAGACATATCCTAACAAAACTTTGAATAAATAAATCCATAAAACAAAGATTTGAGTTCAAACAACAAAAATCCACTTACTTCAGTGATTAAAGGAACCGTTGATGTTCTTAGAGGTCACGAGTTCGAGCACCATCGAATATACTACTTTGTAATCACCTTAACTTAATTAAAAAAAATTGAGTTCAAGCAACTGCCTACCTTATAATCATTCTAGACTATTAAAAACAACACATAACATAGATATATAGATATATAGTGATATTTATTAATTAATAAAAAAATTCTCATTTCTTTTTTTTTTTTACCACACCTTGAATCATGTGTATCATCCATTCAATTCCGTTTACAACATTTAAAATTTCTGTTATGATGAATAATTTTTGAAACTACAAATCCAACTAATTTTGGATTGATTAATTAAGTGGGTAGGAAAGTTCAGCGACCAGTAATGAACAGTAATTAAATTGGCGAACAGCTCCATAAATCATGGTGGTTTTGTTTACAAAGCAAGCAAAAAATAATTATCAAATTTCAAACCAGGAAATAGAATCGCACTAAGAGAGAATATTTTTTACCATGGGTAAACATGCTATTTCACCGAGACATCGTCAAACACATTGAACAACATTTTACCCTCAAACTTTTATAATATTATTATTTTTATTGAGACATCTGATTTATTGGTAGATTATTTCGATAAGATTTTACTAAGACTCATCATGGATAATCATTCTAATTTAATTTGTTCCATTTGTAAACTTTTAAATATCTTTTTAATTCTCATTTTTTATCTCTTTAATCCTTGAATTTTTATTTTTTTAAACTTGAACCAATTATTGAAAAAGTAACGGGATTTTAAATATATTTTTAATAATTTTAAAAAATTATTTTTATAATTCATACAACTTTTAATAATTTAAATGTATATTTACAATTTTAAATATTTTAAAATTTTAAATTTTAAATAAAAGATTAAAATAATGAATTTTATGTTAACAAAAATTATTAATGTTAACTTATTGAATCTATTACTTTTATTCATCGGTTTGAAAAAAATGTTTAGGAAAAGAAGAATTAAAATATATTTTTAAACCAACAACCAGTTGGTCTAGTGGGATAAGGCTTTAGGTCCTTAAGTAAGGTTAGGGGTTCGAACCCTGGCGTTTACGAATAGAGCAAACTGGGTTGGGAGGGTCGCCCTCGCATCTGTAGTACCCGATTTAGATTAGTCAGTTAACAGATCGGATACTAGTAATTAATTCAAAAAATATATTTTTAAAAAATTAAATTGATCACTAATATTTGGGTAAGTTTTCATTTTCCTCACTAAAACTTCAAAAGTAATAAATTGATCATTAAAACATCAAATAGTTTCTTGAACATATATCTATTTTATTCCAAAAATTTTCTAATTTTTTGTTTATTGTTCAAAATTTTCGGTTTTTTCATGTTCAAAAAAGTTAATTTTTAAGTTTTATTTTAAAATTTTAAAAGGTATATATATCGAAAAAATTTAAAATTAGAAAGCTTTTGGGATAAATTAGCTATAAAATCATTGTTCAATGACATATTTGATGATTTAGTGACTGGTTTTTACTTTTGAAACTTTAGTGGGAAAAACGAAAACTTACTCAAACGTTAGTGATCATTTGTGTAATTTACCCTTTTTAATTTTATAAATTTACTGTATCATGTCGGCAATCTATTAAAAGTCTAATGATAGTTAACTCTCAGTGACCACATCTTAAATAAAAAAAGGAAAAATAATCAAATATTATATTTTTGAATTGAATAAAAAATATACAAAACTCAAACAAAAATATCCACACACAATTACATAACGAAATGAAATAGCCCTCGATGTTGTAGGGAACCACCATGAGACTATTAAAAAGAGTAGATGTAATGACAAAAAGGGGTAAATGGAACAGCTTTTGATGGAAGGTTGGAATTTTGGGAAAATTCTGTAGAAATCTTTGACAGAAGTTTGGATTCAACACATCTTTTTCTTTAGTGAATGTGCACCAACTGATTTCCCAATTCTTAGGCAATTTCATATCCTAACCTCCCACATGCAACTTTCAACGGATCAGGGGTATGTATTAGATTTTAATTATTTTCATAAATATCATATATTAGATATGGATGTAATTGAAGAAGTGGGTGAAATTCATGTCTCCCAATTTTTTCTTTTTGATTTAAGAGTAATTTAAGTTCTATAAATTTAACAAAACCTTATATTTTTAAAATAAAATTATACAACTGTAACAACCCGGAAATTTTAAAATAATATTTAATTGGGAATTGAGGTTTTAATTGAGTAATTGGTGAAAATTTGGGGACTAAATTGGAAGTTTTTAAAACTTGAAGCTTGTTTAAGAGTAAAGAAATTCAGGGACCAAGCCCTGAATTTACCTAAAATGTTAGGTAAGGGCTGTTATATACGTGAATTGGTTTCTGATTTCAGAAACCAATTCTTCCCAAATTCCCTCTCCCAACCTCAACTTCCGACGACGATCCCGATGCCGTCTGAATTCCGATCGTCATTTAAAAACCACCATCGTGTTCATCATCGAGCGAGGAACAAACCCTTCAATTAATGAAGCGAAACGTGCCAAACGCCGTGAATTTCAAGTCAAAGCATCGACGTTTTTTTAGCAATCGCTTAGAAAAATCCTAAATTCATCGCCGATCGTGCTCCGTTTACGACACCTCCCGCACCATCGTGTTCCTTGCCGTTCCGATCCGCCGGTGTCATCCTCGACCTCGTTGACGGCGGCGCTTGGGAGGTGGATCAGTCAAGATCGGCCGAGTCAAAATCGAGCTCCGCCGTTCAAAATTTGAACCGATCTTTGTAAGTATCTCGAAATCGCTCAAAATAATTTTAGAATTTTCCGTGATTTTAGAGCCCCGGAGGACGTCGCACGCGCCACACGCGCCGCCGCAGGCGAGTGAACGCCGGAAACCGGTTTTGAACCGGTTTTGACCGGTTTGACCGGTCACGACCCGTTTACCCGACCCGACCAGTTTACCCGACCCTTGACCCGACCCGTTGACCGTTGACCGTTGACCGGTGCTATTTTGGGAATTAATTCAGTTTTGGTGCTATTCTGGGAATTAATTCAAAATGGGTGCTATTTTAGTAATTTTTCGAAAAAATGATATTTTGGGAATTAATTCGAAAATGGTGCTATTTGTGTAAAATGTTTGACAGTTTGTTGACCTCCTTTAACCAGAACTTTGACCGACTTTGACCGGCTATTAAACGACCTTTGTTTTCGACCGAGAATACCTATCCTGATAGTTTTCGACGTCCCGAATCCGTTTTTGGGTCCGTTTTGCTAAATTCAAACCCGAAAGTCTCCAAATCGTCAGTCAAAACCGTTACTTTATTTTGACCAAGATGAAATTTTGGAAGGTCATACTTTATATTTTCCGACGTCCTGAATTTGATTCCGAAGTCCGTTTTTGCCAAATTCTGACCCGAAATTCCCGAATCGAGCTTGTAAACCCAAAAGGCTTAATATTTTAATATTTTGATTATTTAAATGAGATTTGGTCAAGGATTTATCAATAAAATATTTTTGATGGTACCGTGTTTCACCTGAGCAAGGATCATAGGTCGTATTTTTCGTTAGATAGCCTGACCACGTACTACGAGAATTACCCATAGGTTTCTGTTTTATTTAATAATATTAATTATTTTTTAATTCCAATATGGATTTTTGCCACATATTTCTGATATGATTTCTGGTTACGGTATTTTATACCGATTTTCTGAATATTGAATATTCGATATCTGAAATTCTGTATACTACTGACTTGTCTTCTGATTTCCGTATCTCTGTATATTATTGTTAAGCATGAACACTTTTATGTTTTAAAGATTTAATCATTGTTTTCATTCAAATACATTCATGAACATCTCTATCATTGGGGGGTATCGTTGAAGGAAGTATCCGCAGGTTCCTCGCTTTGTCCTCAGGGCCTTATTTGTGTGGGCTGGGTGTATGGTTATGGGGAACCTACACATTCTGTTGTGATGGGCTGGGGGTAGTGTTCATATATTTTTTTTGACGACATGATTGCATAAACCGACTTTACTGGAATATTTTTATCAGTATGTTTTTATATACACTGTATGGAACACATTGGACTTTTTAGCTCATTCTGTAGTTTTTACCATTTTTCAGATAACAGACCATAAGTTAGCAGATTTGGCATCAGGAGAAATCAACTACTTTATTTTGTACGAACATATATTTATATGTTTTTCGGTTATGCTTGGTGACATGTATTTTATTATCGTTTTGGACATATCTGTATTATTAATATTATGTTCTATATTATATTTAACGTCCTATAAGTGAAAAAAAAAAACCTCTGAATGGGATATGTGACCACTTAGGTTTGGGTCTAACTCACAGACCGGGTCTAGGGGGTTACATTTGGTGGTATCAGAGCTTTCGGTTTTAAACACTCGGACTGTATATGGGTCCTAAACTTTGAATTTTAAGAAAAAAAAACATGTCACCTTAGTGATTTAAAGTTTTCTCGAGATCCCTGATGCTAATCTGACATATGTTTCAAATTCTTTCTGTAGAGCCTTATAGATCCAACGATGAATGCTGCTAGAGGTCGTAGGACTGGACGTGGACGTGGTAGAGGGCGAGTCGCTCAACTTTCCGTTACGATAGATGATCCGATGTCACCACGTGATCCTCCTGTTCAGCAAGTAGATACGACTCTTTCTCATGATGATCAGTTTACTCCTGTGAGAGACCCTCCCGTCACTGAAGATGAGGATTCTGAGATGAATGAAGACGCCATTAATAGAGCTATCTTCCGCATGATTCAGAGAGCTGCTAGAGCCCCTAGTAACATGACTGCAGTGGAGATTTCAAATTCTTTGGTCGCTGGTGTAGTTCC